TCCTTTAAGGGATCTTTAAGGGGTTTTCGGATTAGGGTTGATGAAATAAATCCTGCATTACCCACAACAAGGAGTATGCCATAATTCCCATGATTTAGGACCCTTAAGGTAATGCAGGATGTATATCATCAACAGTATGGACCCTAGGGTGCTAAGATCCTTCACCCAAGCGGAGGCTTTGGTAATTTCTGCCAAAAATCGAAATCCTGAAATTTGCGGTTTCGGGCTTCAGGGGTTCACTTATAGATCATGTTCTTCGTTACTGCGTTCCCGGTCTTGAAGCCAAACCCCTAATAAGACGATAAAGTCTACAGCCTGACTCTCCTACATACATATATATATGTATATATTTATACGTATTTGTACATACATATGTGTGTGCATATATAAATATATACATATATATATATATATACACATATATACACATACATAACCCTTGTATAACCCTAAATGCCTACACCCGAAACTGTGAGTTCTGCTAAACCCGAAACGGTGAGCTCTGCACCATCAGGGTCGCGTAGAAAAGGTCAAACTGAGCCTGAGATTCGGGTCTTCTGTTGATGATATACATCCTGCAATACCCATAATAGGGAATATACCATTACTCCCATAGTTTAGGGTCCTCAGGATCATGCAGGATTTATATCATCAACCCTAAACCCTACACCCTATAGATCCCTTAAAGGAACCCCTTAAAGATACCCCTGCAGATCATCAACCGTTTGGGGGGTGCTAAGGCTTCGGATGTAGGGTGCTGAGATCGAGGGTCGAGGGCCTAAGGTTCCGGGCTCAGGGATTGGAGCCACGGTTTAGGGGCTTAGGGTTTTAGGGTTTGGGGGTTTAGGGGTTTAGGGTTTAGGGGTTTGGGGTTTAAAGGTTTACGGGTTTAGGGTTTTCAGGGGCTCGGGGAGTGTGGGGATTGTATTTTTTGTCAAGGTTTGGGGTTCAGGAAAAATTGTTTGTCAAGAGAACGAAGGCTTTAGTGGCTCAGAGGATTCGTCAGGGTCTTTAGGGTTTATGGTTTGCCTTAGCCTTAACCTACCAAAACCTACCTTTTTGTAGGGTCCCTATAAATTCCATATCAGGGTTTATAATAAGAACCTACAAAAAAGCATGGTGTTTAAGGTGGGGTTTAGGGTTCCTTCAAGGGATCTATAGGGTTCCGTAAAGGGGATCTATGGGGTTCCTGAAAGGGATCTATATATGGGGCTTAGGGTTTAGGGCCTGCTTAAAGGGTCAGACCCCTACCCCTCTCCTACGGGTAAGGTAACGTTATGGATACTATCTACTGTGTAGAAAAGTAGACGCCCTACAGTGAACCCCATAAAGTTGGAAACCGGATTAACGCCAAATAGTGCTGGCATTCCCTATACAATACTCTTAAGGATTGGGGCTATGAGGTTTCCAACTTTTGGGCTTCTACTGTAAAACGGGCATGACCCTATAGATACTGTTGATGGACCATTACAAGGAATATAATATACCATAGTTCCCATAGTTAGGGTCCTTAAGGCCATGCAGGATTTATATCATCAACCCTAAACCCTAAACCCTATAGATCCCTTAAAGGAAGCCCTTAAAGGTACCCCTATAGATCCCTTTAAAGGGAAGCCTTATATCATCAACCGTAGGTCTAAGGTTTCCGGTGGACAAGGCCTCACCGGCTGTCGGTCCTGTCTGACAGTCGCGCTTTAGTGTTGGAGGTCTTTGGGCTCTTCTTCAGCTTCTTCTCAAACCTAGAGGCTCATACCCTACCCCTTGCTTTTGATACCTAGCTTTATGGTTGGGCTCTGTTATATAGAAGTCTTGGGGCTTGTTTAAGGACTCTGGGACGAACATCTTGGAAGCTTTTTGTGTGAAGGTCTGGGTGAAGATATGGGGGAATGATCTACTGCAGGCTTTCGGCATGTCTGGGGGGTCGGGGCGTTCAAAGCTCAGGGCTTGGGAGACTTACGTTTTGAAGGTTTATGTGGAATGCGGGTTTAGGGTTTATGAACCCTTCTACCTCTCCTTAAAGGAGCCCTATAAGCCCTGAGCCCCTTAATCCTATAAACCCTATGAGGCTTCACACGCGTACGGGGTTGAAGGCGTCGATCTCTGCTGCATTGCAGCTAGGCTGCCTGATCCATCTGCCTTGGATAGGGACTTAATATGGGTAACACAGGGTTTAGGTGTGTAGGGATGTAAAAAGGGGCCCCCCAAATTAGAGAACTACCCATATCGGAGCTTTTTAAAAGCAGGCACTGCAAGGGCTTCGGGGAAACAAGATATACTGCAAATCAATAGCAACATGGGAAAGAGAAGGAATACGACTAGACATTACTTATAATTACGATTACTCTTAACAGCGTTATTACTACTAGGTAATTACTATGAATCATGATAATAACAATTACCACGATTCTTCTTATTGTTATTATTATTGTTATCGTTATAAGGATTTCAATATCAAACATCACTTTTGCCATCACTATGGGTCAATACTGTAGAAGTAGGTAATCTTTAAAAAAGTAAATATGAAAAAAAATCGTTCGAGGATGTCGCTTCTAAGCACCCCTGAAGGCGTGACATCCTCGGTCCCAGCATGGGTCCATGAGCCTAGCGGCCTATACATCGGGCCTTTTGGGTGGAGGGTCTATGTATGGTTTAGGGTATATACGGCCTTTTGGGTTTAGGGTGTATAAGGTTTGCGTCTGTGTTTTCTTTACCGGACCTTTTGGTTATCAGGGTTGATGTATGGCTGTTGCGGCGCGGGGACCGGCATCGGCTTTTGGCGCAAGTTACCGGAATTTGGAGATCGAATCTGTTCAAGGCTTTTCGTATAATCTTTACTCTATGCAGGGTCTCTACACTGACCCAAAACCAATAAACCCTGCGAGTGAATTCTTTCCCGTAGCTGACACGGTCCCTGACCACTGCCAGAATCTAGCAACAAAGGACTTTTGGGGAACCCTGACAGTGTAGGTTGCTTAGGATCAGGTAATCCTTACTCGCGCTGCACTTGCGAAGCAATGAAGGATGTGCAAACATCCACCACATGCACTGAGGCATGGACACAACTTAAAACCTTATAAGCCCTACACCCTGCCAGACCGCTCATTACGAAAGCCTAAACCCACAAACCCTGAACCCTAAACCCCTAAATTACTAAACCCCTAAACCCCAAACCCCTAAACCCTAAAACCCTGAACCCCTAAACCCCTGAACCCCTAAACCCCTAAACCCGATAAACCCCTAAACCCTAAACCCTGAACCCCACCTCCGACCCTACTCACAGTGCAGCCGGGTGACATGATATCGCCCAAGAAGGGCACCTGTGAGGCTGTAGGGTTTGGGGCTTCGGGTTTAGGGTTTAGAGTTTCAAAAAGAATGGGCTGAGCTTCAGTCAAGAAGTTCCCGAAGACTGTTGACATGACAAGATGCTACTTTTGAGCAATGCCGCTCTTCTGACTACCGTTATTGCCATGGCTTGTGCTGGAACTACTGTTTCTGTTTGGGCTTTATGTTGGTTTTGCCCTGCAGGAGAACTAGAAACTAGACATGCTTACGCACGCTGGAAAAAGGCACCCCATAAAAGCAGCCCGAACAAAATTGATTTGGAGTTTGAGCTTGCGGTAGTAGCTCGCAACCGAGCTGTACAATGTTGCGACCAGTGTCGGGTAAGTGGGTACTTACGCCAGGTCCTTGTACTAGGCCTGAAAATCTGAAAACTTCTATCGATCGATCCTCGCAACGGATGTGTGGCCGAACTCACTCAAGCCTTCACGGTGCGTTTAGGGTGTACGGCTCAGAATCAGGAACCTGCTTCAGATAAAGAACCCTGATTCTGAACAGAGCTCTCAGAAGGGGTTCTATTCTCGTATACGAAAATCATACCAAAGCGCCGAAATCCCCATGCTCACTAAGGAACCCTTGACTGACGTATGTAGAGCTTCAATCACCAAGCTCCAGGACGTCAATGACATGGAATAAGGCTCGAGAAACAGCATTAGTAATGGTTCCAAACCCATGATTTAAACGCGGACCCCCCCTGGCCCAAATCTCCCTGCGCACCTTCTTCGCCAATGTCCTCCCCTGGCTGGGTAACGTCGATTGCAGCGCCGTGAGGACGTAGAAGCAGCCCTTCCTTTACTACTTCAGCATTTAATGGCTCAACTTATGAATACCAAACCCGTAAGCCTTCAGCCGTCGACTGCTAATTAAATGCCCTATCCGAAACCCCCAAACCCTGAACACCGACGGCTTAAATACCGAAGCCCGAACCCCGGGATCCTAACTAAACCTTGCAGCCCCGACTACTGCAGCTCCCTTCAGGGGTAGACACCTTGAGGCCCGACTTCGCCCAGTGTAGGGTTGAGGGGTGCAGATATTAATGATCGTCCGGATTCTGGGACATTTTGTGTTTCGGAATTAAGCTTCAGCACGAAATTTCGGCGCTTCAGGCTGTCGTTGGCTGAGGAATCCCAAGCTGAACGACGTCTCGGAGTTCGAAGTCTTCTGGCCCATCTTCTGCCACCACGTTTGTTACACCCCTCTCCCGGTTTGGAACATTATCTGTCGGCATTCTGGAGGTATTTGTTGTAACATGTTGGAGGTTGTAAAGGCTGAAAGGCCCCTGAAAGGCTCAAAGCTTGAAGCAGGCGTCGAGGGCCATTGTAAATTGCCCAAAGCCCCAACCCTGAGGCTGCTTGTCGAACTTTTGCAGCCGGCTTCATCGCTGCATCAGCGAAAGCAACTGTCAAACAATAATGTGAAACGTACAACTGCCAGCGCTTGCCCTCAATTGATTTAATGTACAGCTTTAAAGTTTGCTAGGCTGTGGAATGCTTGTGGTGAATGGTGGCTTAGTGCAGTCGTGGAGCCATAGGTTCGGACTATCTGGCTGAGGGGCTTCCCAGCTAGGAATCTCGGGCTGGCTGCCGGGCTGTTTAAATTTAGGGTTCTCAGACTTTTGGCAGCGCGCATTCCCAGAACGATTTTCGCGACGTCGTCTGACGTCAACGTGCAGCTGCAGAAATAGTCCTCAACGCCCCAGCTTCCGAAAGCAGCCGCGCGATCTCAAGTCGGCCATTTGCAGATGCCTGAATCAGAGCCTGGGATAACTCGGAAAAACTCAATCCCCAACCTGCATCCCAAACCTGAAACACTAAACCGGCAAATCCCTAATTCAATGAAACGATGAAAGCAACAAATGCCTAAACCTTGGCCTTATTTAAACTCAGGCGATGAAGGCTGATCCTATTTAGTCGCTCCTTAAACCAACCACCTCCTGGAGCAATAGTGGTTGACCCCAGTGTTTTTTCCGCCACGTCGCTTGATCCCATGCCTTTTAGGCCCTAAAGCTCTGAAGCTCTAGGCATTGCGAGGCCGTGTGTGAGCCCTTCTGACAGTTTTACAGAACTATTACAGAATCCTCTAGAAGTCCAATCTCACCGTAGACAATAATGCCTTAAAACCCGTAAACCACCCAAACAAACGGGTTCCGGGTAAGGGCTAGGACTCAAAACCCACAAACTGTACGACTCTCAATGAAGCTGTGTATTGGAACCCGTATCGGAGGCCTTCCTTAGAGGCCCACAGGACTTAGTAAGTCGGCTATACGTAGGGCTATAACAGGCGTAACTCCATTTAGGGGACTTATAACTCTACTCAGAACCTACTTACTAAGTCCCTCGGGCCTCTAAGTACTAGAATGAGAACCCTTATAGAATCCTTATAGAAACCCTTAAAGGAACCCTTTTAAGGAACCCTTAAGTCCCCTGGGCCTCTAAGTAGACTTAGAGCCTAAAAGGCTCAGGAGCCGTGTCTTCTTCGTCGTAAGCCAGCTCCTGATCTGCGCCGGCCTCCAGCAGAAATCGTACCACCTGACTTCGGTTGTGGGTGGTTAGGGTTTAGGGTTTAGGGTTTATGGTCGGTAGCGGATGCGGATTTTTGAACAGGTGTCTGCTTGGAGGGTCGCGGGCCTTAGGAAATAGGTAGTACGTGGAGTGTTGTAAGTACCCCTAAATCTACATCATTGGGGCACTGGTACCTATAACTTTACAAAACAACTAACTACATACTACGTCCCCTGACCGTCCAAGTAGCAAGGGTCCTGACACAGAGGGCTTTAGGCATAGGCATACGGCCAGTACAGGGTATAAGTGGTTTTGTATTAAGTTGTGTGAGTCTTGAAAGAGTTAGCCGTTCTACAAACACTGTGCATGAGCAGATATGTCTGCAGAAAGCATTTGCAGTCGCTTCTTTCGTGGGATGTGCGTGAGCCTTATCCCATATGCGGGTTTATAAGAAGAACCTACAGAAACGTAGGGTTTAGTAGGTCTAGGTCCAGTCTAGGTATTCTTATAAACTGAAACCTCCGTCCCCTGAGCCTCCGCATAGCCGTGGATGGATGCCCAAAGGAGAGCAGTTCGGCCCCTTTGGTCTGCGAAGCCGGTAGCCTTACCAGTCTCCAAGAGTAATAATCGGACAGTCTCCAGGTGACCTCCAGTGGATGCCTCAATGAGAGCTGTGCTCTCACACTTCTCCGATGCATTTCGGTCGGCACCTGCAGCCAACAGCAATCGAACCACCTCCGCATGCCCCTTCTTGGCTGCATGATGCAGAGCCGTGTGCCCCTTCATGTCTTCTACATCGAAGCTGGCCCCAGCCACCAGTAGTAAACGAACCAGCTCCCTGTGCCCTCTTGAGGCTGCAAGCATCAGTGCCGTCCTGCCAGTTTTGTCCAAAACGTCCTTAGAAGCCCCGGATTGCAAGAGCACTTGCGCAATGCGCAGCACCTCCCCACCTCCGTCGTCACAGGAGTCACATGCCCAGCTCAGAGCTGTCAGGCCTGACTCGTCCGTCAGGTCTTTCTCCGCGCCGGCTTGTAAGAGCAAGCTGACGATCTCGACGTGGCCACGAATGGATGCCATAATCAAAGCTGTAGCGCCCGTCCGGTCCGTCAGATCTGTGTCAGCACCTGAAGAGGGACTGTGGATACTACGGTTGATGATATAAATCCTGCATGACCCAGAGTAAGGAATATGCCATAATTCCCATAGTTTAGGGTCCTTAAGGTAATGCAGGAAATTTTCATCAACAGGAGCATCCCCAAAACCCATATACACACTCCCCAATACTAACCCCCCCTTGTATTCTGAATGTTCTCTGGGGTCTTATATGAAAAAAAGCAGAATATTGATTCATGAGGAGACTGTAAAATATTCCTATGGAGCCCCGCTTTCTGATATGAAGCTACTCGAACCTGCTCCCAGCAGCAAGCGCACGACCTCCACGTGGCCCCTTGCAGATGACCACATCAGCGCCGTGAAGCCCCGGTTCCCACGAAGATTTCCTCGAGGGTTTAAGGGTTTAGGGTTTAGGGATAAGCGCCCTCGGTTTCGGGTCGAGTGTAGGACTGTTGGAGTTGATGGAGTAGGGGTTTCACATAAGTATAAAAAAATACAGGAAAACGTTCAATACTAAACGGCGCACCCAAACCTATTCCATGACCCAAAGTTTAGTATACTAACTTACAAGCAACAAAAAGTAGACAAACAACTGCATGCAGGAAAAAACAAGAAAAAATGTGTAGGATGCACGAACGTACGAACTAATCTGGACTTTGAAGTAACCAGGGAGAAAAAAGTATAGACGTTTATTTCATAATGGCTCCTTTAAGGAACAGCTACCCAAAAACGTATTCAAGTGTGGTACTGCAAATCCAGGGAATAAGACCCCTCGAACAAACGTTGCTAGAAGCCTCAATCACCAGCAATGCCTGTCCTTACGTTTCCTTGTTTTGGTTCTAGAACAATTTTTTGTATCAAACCCTAAACCCTAAACCCTAAACCCTAATAACCGATTTTATTCAAACCCTAATAACTTATTCTATTTATTGCATCCTAATAGCCCGAAGCCTAGATGTGCACTAAACCCAAAGCCCCTAAAGCTTAAGCCCCTAAACATGAAGCCCAAAAGCCCAAGACCTTAGGCCTTAGACAAGGCCCCTGTGTTTGGCTGGCAGTTTTCAGGACTCATCAAAAGGAATCATAATAAGGAGCCCGAAAGGGTAGGTTTTCGGAGTTCTCAGAGACTCCAATATCCCTTAATTAAGGAATATATTCCTTAAATCAGATTAGGGCTCCTATTATCATTTAATAAGGTATAATTAATGGATATTGGAGTCTCTGGGTTTAAAGTGAAGCCTAAACTCTCGGAACCCTTCAGGCAGAGCTGTAGAGCCAAGCTTCGGTCGGCACCTGCTTGCAGCAGAAGGCGGACGATCTCCTTGGCTTCGTCTTCAGAAATCAACTTTAAGGTATATTTAGGGGTGAGGGTTTAGGGTATACCCTAAACCCCTAAGCCCCTAAACCTATGGGGTTCAGTGTAGGGTCCCGGTACTGTGGAGAATTGAGGGGCTTACGGTTTAGAGGTTTAGGGCTTGGGGTTGGGGGGGGTCGGGGGTTTGGGTTTGGGGCTTAGGGGCTCCGCGGCCTAAGGCTTAGCGTGTTTAGGGTAGAACTCAGGATTAGGGGGACCCCTGTGGACATGGACCTTCTCAAAAGGGTCCCTTTTAAGAGAGCCAGAAGTAGGGTGAAGAAGGATCCCCTCTAAAGGGGTCTCCTTATAGTACTGTCTAGGACAGGGAATGCCTCTAGCCTCTGTGCTTCAATCCGACATATGAACGCCGTGAAAACCAAATCTTAAGGGTCCAAGTACCGAATACTCATGTCCTCTCGCAAGTATTGCGCTACACAACGTCCCAAGTACCATATTCTTGGGTCCTTTGGACCCTCAAGGCTATAGTAAACCTCCCCAGTACACCTTATAGCCCTCAACTTCTCAAGACCCTGGAAAACGAGATCACAACCCAGCTTTATTCTGAAAACTAGGTCGCACGGATAAGCACGCAATTTCCAATTTATACAATATTTTGTATGTCTTCAACCCTCTGCCAAAGGCTTGCAAAACAAGCCACTATGTTCACGCTCTTTTCACGGTTTTGTCACGGTCTAAAGTCTAAACTGGGGTCGAATCTCGCATTGGCTTTACGTAGTTGCATGGTCGCTCTATCATTTACAGGATTTTCACGCAATTCTCACGCTATTGTCACCGTCATTTACCCCTGATCATGAAAACATGCTTGATGGTCCAACCGCGAAAAAACTAGGGCGCATGTCTGGAAAGTCCGGTCGTATGGTGCCACCGCAGAAAAGAAGGTCGAAGAAGAATAGGGTAGTAGATAGTCCTTATATATAGACCCCTTTAAAGGGAACCCGTATCGACACACTTGTTATTGGGTCCCTTGGGCCCTTCCTTCCGGGGCGGAACGGTTTTTTTTTCCTAGGTCTGGTCCGCCCCGGCTTGCTTTCCTAAGCCTGGTCCACTGGTTGTGGTTGCAAACAGCGGCAACTGCAGTCTTTGCTTCTATTTTGCATCAAGCTATTGGGGAACTAGAATTTGACGGCTCTGGTTTTGCTTTTGTTTTGCATGAGGCTATTGGGGAACTACAACTTGCGGAGTCTGATTTTGCTTGTGTTTAGCATCAAGCTGTTGGGGAACCACAAGTTGCAGGGTTCGGTTTTCTTTGTGTTTTGCATGAAGCTATTGAGGAGTTCGCATTTGCAGGGATCGATGTTGCTTGTGTTTGGCATCAAGCTATTGGGGAACTACAATTCGCAGGGTCTTCTTCTGCTTGTGTTCTGCTTCAAGCTATTAGGGAACTACAATTTGCGGTGTGTTCTTCTGCTTGTGTTTTGCATGAAGCTATTGGGGCGGTGTGTTCTTCTGCTTGTGTTTTGCAACTACAATTTGCGGTGTGTTCTTCTGCTTGTGTTTTGCATCAAGCTAATGGGGAACTACAATTTGCGGGGTCGGCTTTGTTTGTGTTTTGCATCAAGCTATTGGGGAACTACAATTTGCAGAGTCTTTTATTGTTTGTGTTTTCCATCAAGCTAATGAGGAACTAGCATTCGCAGGGTCTGGTTTTGCTTGTGTCTTGCATGAAGCTATTGGAGCACTACAATTTGCAGGGTCGTGTTTCTCGTGTGAATATTGCCTGATTACAATTTCAAATCTTCTGTCTTGTGTCGTTGTTTTTTGGTGTCGTTGTCGACATCCTCGTCATCCTCGTCCTCGTCCTCGTCGTTGCCGTCGTGGTAGTTGTTCTTGTTGCTGTTGCTGGCGTTCTTGTTGTTGCTGTTGTTGTTGTGGTTGTCGTGGTGGTTGTGGTTGTGGCTGTTGCTGTTGTTGTTGTTCTTGTTGTCAGACAGACGTGTTGCTGTTGTTGTTGCCATTGTTGTTGTTGCTGCTGTTGTTGTTGTTGTGGTTATTCTTGTTGTTGTTGCTGTTGTTGCTGTTGTTGCTGTTGTTGTTGTTGTTGTTGTTGTTGTTGTTGTTGTTGTTGTTGTTGTTGTTGTTGTTGTTGTTGTTGTTGTTGTTGTTGTTGGTGTTGCTGTTGTTGTTGTTGTTGTTGTTGTTGTTGTTGTTGTTGTTGTTGTTGTTGTTGTTGTTGTTGTTGTTATTGTTGTTGTTGTCGTTGTTGTCGTTGGGTTGTTGTTGTTCTTGTTGTTGGTGTTGTTGTTGTTGCTGCTGCTGTTGTTGTTGTTCTTGTTGTTGGTGTTGCTGTTGTTGGTGGTGGTGGTGGTGTTGTTGTTGGTGGTGTTGTTGGTTGTTTGTTGTGTGTTGCTTGTTGCTTGTTGCTAGTTGTGTTAGTTGCTAGTTGTGTTACTTGTTAGTTGCTAGTTGCTAGTTGTTAGGTGTTAGTTGTTCGTTGCTAGTTGTTAGTTGTTGGTGTTAGCTGTTAGTTGTCAGCTGTTGGTTGCTATTTGTGAGTGTTGTTTCTTGTTAATTGTTAGTTGTTTCCTGCTTATTGTTCCTTGTTGCTTGTTTGTTGTTTCTTGTTTGTTTTTTGTTCTTTCTTGTTTCTGTTAGTTGTGTTAGATATGTAGTTGTTTGTTGTTAGTTGTTTGTTGTTTGTCACAGACAGACACACAGACGGACAGACAGACATGGATACTGCGGCCTGAAGGGTGCACGTCGCCCCGAAGGGCTGTCAGAAGCAGGCCATATTGGTTGACGACGACTTTTCAATAATGGTTGAGAAATCTGCATCGGATCAACTTCGCCAGATGCGCCTATCGCAGTTAGCTGCATCGGATGAACTTGCTCAGATGAGAAATGCTCTGGCAACTTCCGATTGGTTGACAACAATATTCCCACAGTCGTTGAGAAATCTGCATCGGATCAACTTCGTCAGTTTTTGCCGCAGTTAACCGCATCAGATGAACTTGCTCAAATGAGAAATGCTCGTGTAGCTTGGATGGAAAGTTAATGTATATGCCTTGTACATATAGACATATGTAGTAAACCGACTCCATGTGCAAACTTAAACCATGTCATGTCAGGACATGTCACACATCATGTATCATGCCATGCCATATCATGTCCTATTATGTCCCGTTCATCTAATTCCGTTTCACATCATGTCATGTCACACGACGAACTGTTTCAGTGCATCCTCGGTCCCATGTTAAACCCTGTTTCGCGTTGCCGGCATGGTAGTTTGGGCATGTTTTGTGGTGAAACTTTCACTCTACTGCTTGCAGCATCGAAGCCTCAACAGGCCGAAACACCGACCAGCATTGCCAAAGCCACAGTTTTCAGCATTTCTCAACCGCAGATCGAAAAGAACATAGCGTCAACAAATACAGCAAGAAGCTTGTTTCATGTGGCAGACGCGGCACATTCGAAGTTAATGTGTCTTTCCAAAGGCGCAACAATCCCCCCATGATTGAGGACCGTCTGCTGCGCCTCATGGTGCACTTTTGCATCCGCCAACTGCTGTAGAAGTGATGCAAGCCTCCAGAGATGATTTGAGTCAGGGAGCACTGGGCGGTCCTCTGTATCACAGACAAGTTGAGTTTCATGCCGCCGCTGAAGATCCGGCAGGTTGTCTCAACAATCGACACGGCCTGTATGCCAAGTAAGGCTTCATCAACATGGCAACGGTGTCTTAGGAAAGCAGGGGGACATTATGTGTGCATCAACGATTAAGCTACCCGAAACCGAGTGTCCATGAACGAGGCAGTAGTCTTTGGCAATCAAGCCAGCAATACCCCGGTATCGAACTCGTCCAGAATGCTCGAGAAGCTTCCAGCTTCAAATGCAGCCGTCACCATCTTCGTAATCTCGATGCACACCAAAGCGAGCGGAAATCGCTGCTGGTCGTCCTAAGTACACCTCGCGAGTCTTGATCAATACTGTATCTAATGAGTAGAAACCGTACGCGGGCACAGCTCAGAGCAGCTTGCTCATTACCTAGGACATGCGAAGACATTCGGTCCTGCGACAGCAGGTAGGCGGCTTTGAACACATCGAAGGAGTGCGAAAACGTGTAGAACATGTGCACGACCTCAAGGCATCTCAAAACTATGCCTCTGAAATAAACATGGACAGGGAAACGGACGGGGACCTGGCACTCAGCAAACCGGCAGAAGAGTTCAGAGCAGCCTCTGGATCGTGGCCTTGAAATGCCACGACCTGGAGCGTCAGTTGACAGAAACTGAAATCAGCAACACTTCGGCTTCCACCGTCGTCACAGCCTCCCAATGCAAGACCTGCCTGGTTGCTGTAGATCGTGTCCAACATGCGATAGTGCAGCAGGTCATTGAAGTCGAACCTCGCCACTTCAACTGTAGGCCTGCTTCAGCCTGCTTCCACGCTGTTAGCCGTTGCTGAGTTGTGTGCGACATCGCCTTCAGACGTAAGACGAACTCCTGACGGGTCCAGTTCACAAACGTGGGCAGTCGATCTGCGGTGGCTCAGAGTCTCCTCCGGTCGTCTCTCGGGCGTTTCAAACTCAGTCTCAGAAGCAACCTGTCTCGGAACCACTCGTTACCCTCATCCGGACTCATCAGCTTCCAGTTCAGCACAGCCTCTGCGAAAGCTGAAAGATCGTGAAGCCACGCTCGCACCTGCTTCAATGCAAAGCCACTCGAAGACCTTTCCTCTACATTATCTGCCTCTTTGTAACAGATCGGCTTCCTCAGGGCCTGCAGGAAAGGCTGGAGCTTCGATCTTGAAAAGCGGCCCCGCCCAAGTTTTCCGAGGAATCTGCATCCTGCTGGGCCACGGCCTTGCCACGTCTTTGGCCTTGCAGGCTTCTCCGGTGTTTGCTCTTCGCAGAAAACACAGGGTCTACCTCTTTGGCAAGCTCATCGCTGCGGAAGGCAATCTCTTCCCATGCCTTCTCAATCTCAGCATCAGCTGCCTCTTGACCTCTGGCG